TTACCTTGGTGATGTGAGTGGTGGTAGTAGTGGTGTTGGAGGTCTCGGTGGTGTAGCTCTGTGAGCTCAGCAGCAGACCAGCAGGAGTATCAGATTCTACTTGGCTCTGAAACAAGTATGAACATCAGCCCATGAGGAAGAGTAATAACCAAATACCAGCACATTTTTGTACTGATGGAAAAAAGATGTTGAGGATAAAACACAAGATGTCAGTCTGGGGGAAAATATTTATGTATCCATCTATTTCTGGTACTACTCATATTAACTACACATCTTTTGATTGATTAAACTACGCAGTGAACTTTGACATCACTTCAAAGTAATCCTCTGAATTCTTTTCACCTAATTAAATAGTACAAACTGACCTCTTAAACTAAACACTTAGTCTTCCTCATTCCCAGAGTGTTATATCTTCCTCATCAATGTTACCTCTTAACCTCTTAAGCCCCAAGCCCACCTGATCTACTGCCTTTTGCCCCCGTATCAGGGGGCGTTAGAGGTTAAAAGAGGCAAAATTGAACCCTTTACAGCCAGCACCAGCACTGGTTAAGACATCCTGAGGTCTCAAACTGAGTGTTCTTGCCTTTATCATCTTAATATTCTGAAACAGGAAATGCTGAGCTAAAAGGGGGTCTAGTTCTTAGCCAGTGGTCATGCTCTAGTTTACAAATGAATGAATTTTTTCTTCACAAACTAGCCACTGAGCCCATAAAGTCACCAGGAATAAATAAAATTACTAACATTAGGAAGCAAGAGAGCCGAGGGAGGTTTTCCCACAAACCTCTTTAAAACCACTCGTAAACCTTTTTGCAGTCGAATGAGATGTTGCTTGGTCTCCAAATTGACTTCCCTTTCAAGACTCAGAAGCTATGCTCATCTGATACACAATCTATGTTTTAAACAAGCAAAATTAGGAAAAACAGGAAAGTCGGACTAGAGTTTGAAAATATATCAAACTCTCGTCTGACTGACATAATATTTCGATGTTTTCATGTGAACAGAGGGTAAATTAGATTTTAAGGAAGAAATGGGCCAAAGGTCACTGGGGCAGGTGGGGTAGGTGCAGTTCCAGGGTGGTAAAATGGGGCAAGGGTAACTAGTATAGGAGTCGCAGATGCCATTTAGGCAAGTGTCTCAGGTGTTACCTCCTGTAGCGGTTTGAACTCATCGTCATCCCTGTGGGCAGATGGTTGCATCTGATGGGCCAAGTGCCTGGATGTGGGATGGAGTAAAGAGGGCGGAGGGGAGTTTTCTTCAAACTGCCACCCTCCTTCATCTTCCTGTGAGTCGTCTGAGTCTTCGTTGTCAGTGTAATGCAGAGTCCCAGGTGTTTGAGAGTCCAGGACAGAGCTAGCTTGCTCCTGTTCACAAAAGCTAACTGCTATCTTGTTGTTAATGTTATCCTGATTAGTGTCATTAGCGTTGGGGGCCTGAGTCTCTCTGACTGCAGCTTCGATGGCCTCCTCCACTGCTGCCTGTACCAGCACACTGACGGCATCCTCACTAATCTCACTATCGTTGTCATCGCTAGCCTGGCTGCTGCGCTCGTAGCTAATATCATCATCATCATCACTTGTTGGACTATTAGCCCGACCATCATTAAAACTGTCACAGGCCCATTGCTGTGTGCTATCATCAACACCTGCTGGGTTGGCTGGTAGATTACTGAAGGACATGCCCACATGACTTTCTTTTGCTACCTTTTGCTGGTCCACCATTGCCTCGTCCTGGTCATGTGGCTCTGTCACCAGCATTATTGTCTCCACCTCCTCTGAAGTCTGAAAAACGAAGTGAAATCACAGAACATTAGGTGATTATTTTAACAAGTGATGATAGTGCTGCACATGTGTGTCATTCTGCTGCAAACCGATTTGAAGGACTGATGTAAATGGCAGTTCTTTGTGAATTGAATTGAACTGAACTTCTCGAAATACAGAGGTTAAGCAATATTTGGTGATTATTCATAGAGTAGGAAATGACCCCACCAGAGTCCAAATGCTGGTGGTGCTGGTGATGGCATGACATGGACATAACAGGTTAACTATGGCATAATATATGAAAAGAGTATCAACATAACTAACTGAAAGGAGTAGAAAGGGCGCAAAGCTGTTGAAGGCCAGGAAATAGACCAGAAAGCCTACGATGAAGGTTTGGTAAACAACTGCCTGCCAGTTACCCCAGTACCCCTCAAAACTTGTCCATAGCACTATATGTTTGTAGGATTTCACCAGTTATAAAACAGCAAGGACCAGAACTTTAAATCTGTGCATAAACCTTTTTCAAATGAAACTGTGACCAGCAGATTGGGTACTGAGGAGCCTTGACTGAGTAAGTGACACACATGACTTTACTTGCTTACATTTAAATTATGTGCCTCTGATATTAGTTTTGAACAACCACGCGCCACTGCCAGCTAATTTTATCAGCGAGATGGACTGTACACTAAAGTGTGATGCAGTAAAAATCTGAATATGGGCAAGCTGCAAAAGATTTTGCAAGTTGTTTGCAGTGTGGAAACACGAGTTTGTGAAAGTGAGATCAGAGAATGAGGCGATGTAGGATTTTGAAATTTTCAACATAGGTCCATCTTCTAAAAATCTCAGATTAATTCGTATTTTAGTGACCTCGACCTCATGGTGAAGGTTCTTTCAGGTACATGCACTAGAAATCTTAGACCAGTTCAAATCCTGGTGACCTTGACCCCAAGGTAAAATTCAGGGGTCAAGTTTTCTGAAAATCTTGTGACTGGAATAACGGAGGAGGCTGAGGCGTAACACTGGCAGTCACTGTTATTTTTTAAAATTAAATTAAATTCAGTTTTATTTACAAAATCAAATCACAAAAATGGTCACCTCAATTTACGTATTTCTTTCCCAGAGCTGTGAGACCAATTTATGCTCTTTAACAGCACAATTACAATTCTTACATAAAAATAAGTCATGCACGGTCTAATAACAACAAACCTTTGTCATAGTCCACATATCAAAAGAGCTGCAAACAGGTGATCTTTTAGTTAATTTGCTGGAACGTGAACACCGAGACGAAAAATGTATTCTTGAACTCTTTATAATTAGACTCTTAATCAGTGCTAGTTATGTGTTAAGCTCAAACTAGTTAAACTGTGCACTTCAGGATCTGAGGATTTTAAATTAATTTATTTTACTTGTAATATTTTTGTGAATATGTAGCCTTGAAAATGAAAGGACAGCTTAGAATAACCAGAAACCACTGAGGTGAGTATGAAGAGGGTGAAGCAGCTGCTACAGGGTCATGGAGCAGATCGGTATCAGGGTTGTTCTTTATGATCTTGCTAGAGGATGCAGGGGAGTGTGGATGTCTTGCAGGGATGTCATAACAGCCTGGAGGACATGAATCAGATCAGTACTGTTGGTGAAGGGGCAAGGAGAACCCGTGCTCTGCTTATGTCCTTAGTGTTAGAACTCGGACCAATAATTGTGGCTTCTTGAGAAGCTGAGATGATTTGTTGCTCAGAATGCACAAACCTGGAGACTGAGACTAGCTTTTGAAACTAAAGCATTGAGATGGGATGCTGGATTTCTTTTACTGGCTGAGAGAAGCTGCAGTGAGGAGAACTGACTGTAGGTTTGACAAGATGCGGTGCTGGTTCTCATACATAAGAACACTGAGATTAAAACCACAGAGAAAAGAAACTTATTAACTCACAGAAGGCAGGCAATAAAATACCTGAAAGAGGAGTTAAAGAGAGCCAGACAAAAATACAACTGGACAACAAGGAAGACAGCTAGTGAAAAAGGCACCTTGAGCAGGTCGTGTTCTCTGACGGTTTGTTGCTCTCTGGCTGATTTCAGCAGAGCTGTCAGCTCAGGAGACATATCATCAAATGTAGGTTTAGGCTGCACATATCAAACACACAAAAAACAACAGTTACAGTGAAAACAAAGAAGAAACTTGTAATTAAAAGTCTCAAAATAAAACTCCAGCCATGCAGGGGACACTGTGGAGCCATGGTGGGCTTATTTAAAATAGCCTTGAACTATGTTGATATTTTCCTATCTAAAGCTTCCTCGTCTTCCTGCCCCAGTTTCCAAAATGCATCCGGAGGAGAGGCCCTTGATGGAGGAGCTATGGGTAAGAATGTACAAGTATGTCTTTGTTAATTATAATACCACTGTTAGTGGCATTATAACAAAGTGGAAGCAACTGGCAATGACAGCAACTCTGTTTTAAAGCAAAATCAGAGATTCTCATAGTGCACAGAGGTCGCCAACTTTCTGCAGAGACAACTAGTACAGACTTCCAAACTTTATGTGGCCTTCAGATTAGCTCAAGAACAGTTCATAGAGAGCTTAATGGAATCTCTAGAGTAACAGATGGAGTGGTGTAAAGTGCATGGTCACACTTCTCCATCTGACAATTCCAACTGATGAGTCTGAGTTTGGCGTTTGCCAGATGCGTTTATGGTGTGGGGTTGTTTTTCAGGTGTTGGGCTCGACCCCTCTTCTTAAGTAACTCTTCAGACATTTTGGACAATTTCATGTTCCCACCTTTATGGGAACAGTTTTTGGATGGCTTGTTCCAGCATGATTGTGTACCAGTAAACAATGCAAGGTTCACAGAGTGGATGAGTGATTTTGGTGTGGAGGGACTTGAACGGCCTGCACAAAGTCCTGAGCTCAACA